AGAAGTTCACCGATCCAATACACCCTTCGATCCAACTGCACCATTTCGTACCGAAGCCTTTCCTCTTTAGAACAGCCAACAGAAAATTCCAGTCCACCATATCGTAAGCCTTCTMATAATCAAGCTYGAGGATGAAGCCACTTTTCTTGGAAGCTCGCCGCTCACCAACCCCTTCGGAGGCAATCAAGATCGCATCTAGGATATTTCTGCCCTCAACAAACGCTGCTTGGGTGTTGCTAATAATAGAAGGGAGGTACTTTCTTAGTCTTTCGGCCAAAACTTTTGCTATAATTTTGTAAAGAGAAGTGACCAAACTAATGGGGCGAAAGTCCCTAACTTTGTTAGCTCTTCTCTTCTTTGGGATAAGACATATATAAGTTTCATTTGTTCTCTGATTGATGATCCCATTTTGAATAAAGTCTTGGAACACTCTAATTAAGTCGGCCTTCAAAATGTTCCAAGACTGTTTAAAAAACTCATTTGTCATCCCATCAGGGCCCGGAGATTTGAGGGTGCCAAGTTTCCTGATAGCATCGTGCACTTCCTCTTCACTAAAGGGAGCCTCCAAGTCAAGACTGTCCTGATGACTAAGAGAATTCCATTCCATTCCATCAAAACAAAACCGGGGTCTGGCTTTAGCTTTATATAAGGAGTCAAAAAAACTGAAAATTTCCTGCTCGATCTCTTTCTCTGAAGTGAGAGGATTGCCTGCACTATCTTCCAAGACCGAAATGATGTTTTTACATTTCCTTTGAGAGGCCCACCTATGAAAAAAGTTGGTATTTTCATCTCCTCCAATAAGCCATTGCAGTTTACATTTTTGCGCCCATCTACGCCGGTCTTTAATGATAATTTCCTGCAGGGAGACTTTAAGATTAATTCTCTCAGAAAAGGATACAGGGGACAAAGACCCACTTTCTTCTTCTTGGTCAAGGAGGTTTATTCTGGCTTGCAGATCTACTTTTTCCTGGTCAATAGCTCCAAAGGTGTCCCTATTCCAAGCCTTTAAAATTGTCTTGAGTCCCCGAAGTTTCTCCATGAAAGCATAACCTGCCCACCCCGTAGGGTTCAGATTCTTCCACCACGACTCTAACGAGGCTTTGAACTGCGGATGAGAGAGCCACATATTCTCAAAACGAAAAGGTGTGGGACCCCATTTCTGGAAACCCGAACTGAGTTGAAGAGGGAAGTGGTCTGAAGTCGTACGGATCAATCTTTGTAGCACCACATCCTTGAAGGCATCTGACCAGCCCTGAGACACCAAGAATCTGTCAATATGGGAGGCAGAGAGTTGTTCCCTCGAAGCTGACCAGGTGAAGGTAGCATTGTTGATATGGATATCAATCAGCCCTAGCTCTGCAAATAACGAGTTGAAATCTTTCATACTCTTAGTCAACTTTTTCCCCCGGGATTTTTCGTTCGGATTCCGCACTACATTGAAGTCACCTCCTAAGCACCAGCATCCTGAACAGAGACTTGAGAGATCCATAATTTCCTGCCAAAAGAGATCCTACCCCGAGGGGTGGACGGCCCATATACTCCCGTAATCCAACCTTGCACAAGATTGTTAAAGGAGAATAAAATAGAGACAGAAAAAGAGCCTATAACAGAGTCGAGTACCT